TAGGCAACCCCTCTGCCTCCACCAGATCACCAGTGCTGTGCTTTTTGTTATAAATTACCTTTACTTGATATAGAATGTATCCGCGGGCTCATAGAGTATATATTCTCATATTCCTGGTTTCTTTCGCTTAGTAAAAACTTTTTGATATTCATCAATGTCATCAGTATCTATGTGGGAAGCTTTCTTTTCACTGTTAAGTAAATAGAACCCCAGTGCGTGAATGCACCCTGATTTGTTTATCCATTCATATGTTAACCAACATTTGAATTTCTAGTTTAAACCTATTGTTAAGAAACCTGCTGTGAACATGTGTGCACAAGGTAATATACAGAACATCTATTTTTATTTAGGTGGGGGTAAATAACAATCAATTGCTGGATTTTACGGTTGTTCTCAAAAGTTTAAATTAATTAGATCTTGCCAAAGAGTATTCTAAAAGTTTTGCTGCTACTTTATATTTCCAGTATTTATGAATGTTTGTAATTTTTCCACAGTATCTCCTATACTTAGTACTATCAACTTTAATTTCATTTCTGGTTACAACCATTCTAGAGGATATGTAGTATCTAATAGTTTTGGCTTGATATTTTATTTTTTACTCATGATGTTGAGTACCTATTTATATTCATTTTAGTCATGCAAAGTCTTCCTTAGTTAAGCGTGTATTCAGATAATGCCCATTTGGTTATTCTCTATCTTATTACCAAATTATAATTTTTAAAATTTTATAGATCACGTGTTTTACTTTATTTATATATGTGTAATTTCTTTTTGAGATTTTAATATTTTCTATCTATTTCCAGTAAATTCATTCAGCCTGTGTGTGGGGGGAAATGCACCTGGGGGTCCATTGAGTGTTGGCTGTTCTATGCATGGCTCAAGGGGATGGACAGGCATCAGCTGCTGGTCTGGCTGGACTTGGGTTCTCGCTGCAGTTTGCACTGTGACCAGCTCCCCCTGGATTCTTTCTAGGGCCCAGGCTGAAGGGGCAGCAGTCATTCAAAATAGTAGCTCTTCTTGGGCTGGGGATATTGCTCAATGATAGAGCATTTGCCTAGCATGTGTGAGGCCCTCAGTTCAACCCCCTATATACAAATAAGGGTAGCAAATAAGGGATCTTCTCGTATTAGCAGAGGCACAGGAAGTGAGTAGAAATTAGAGAGGAGACAGAGAACTGGCACGTTGTCATTTCAGCTTTGTCCTATTGGCCAAAGCAAGTCGTATGGATAAGTCGTAGCCAAAGGGCTGGGAATGACTCTGCCTTCAGAGGAAAGAACTTGCAAAATCACATGACAGAGATGGGAAATGCGGGGGAGGTGCAGAATTGAGTTAATCATTTTGTGAATAGGAAGGCAAAAATCAATACAAGAGAATGAAGTGAGTGATGATTCGTGGTGTATAGGGGAGAGTGAAAATTCCTAGTGTAGAGCAGAGGATTCCCCCCATCACCACCAGGGATTGAACCCTGGGGCACTTAACCACCAAGCCGCATCCTCAGCCCTTTTTTCTTTTGAGACAGGGTCCTGCTAAGTTGTTTAGGGCCTCGCTAAGTTGCTGAGGCTGGTTTTGAACCTGTGATCCTTCTACTTCAGTCTCCCGAGCCACTGGGATTGCAGGTGTACACCACTGTACCCCGGTGAGGGGAGAATTTTTGAGAACAGGGGTCATTTCCCAGTGTCCTTCCAATTACACTACACGGGGAACAGTTACTTCTGTTTTCAACACCTGTGCTTGGACCCCTCTAGAGGCCCCTTAATCTTGGGGGCCCCATATCCTCCAGGTTTTTCAGCTCCCTAACCCTCCTTCATGATTCCAGGCACCCCTAAAGGGATGAGTGTTGGAGGTGTGTGGAAGTAGACTGAGACACAAAGCTACCTCTCCATTTTCTCCTGGAGCCAACCAGCTTCTGTCTGAGAAAATGAGTGACATGTGAATGCCATGAGTATTTCAATGGAGAATGAGTCCAAGGGTGGGGTGTGCAAGAGGGAACTAGTGAAAGGCTCTGGTGCTTAGAATCGGAGCTCTCAGGAGACAGAGCTGTTTAACACTTTGAATCAACCAGTTGGCTCGCCTCCAGTCCTTGACTCTTAGGTTTCTCCTTGGAGAGAGCAAGAGAAGCAGAGTTAGAAAGGGTTATAGACCTCCAATCATATTGTGAGTTTAGAAAATAGCACACTGGCAAAGCTGTTAGGGAAAAAAGTTACTTAATCGATACCATTGGTCTTGATTAGTGCTGCCACAGGATGTTCCTGCTTCTGAATTCAGAACTTTGGAGTTGGTTGTGGTCACGTGACTTGCTTTGACCAATGAAATGTAAACGGCGAAGAAGTACATATCACATTTGGGTGGAGACTTCAAAGACAGTGTGATAATACACCCTGCTCTTTCCCGATGCTGTGATTATCAGTGTGTATTGAGAAGGAATCTTCATCAACCTGAGTCTAAAATGACTACAATGGATAAAGCTCTCCTGATGACATATATTGGACATGAAGCATGAAACAGAAATCAAATTTGTTGTCTACATAGCTGTGTATGTGTGGGGAGGTGGTACTGGGGATGGAAACAGGGCCTTGTGCATGCTAGGCAAGCACTCTACTGCAACTAACCCCCCCAGCCCAGTAATCACTGAGACTTTTTTTGGGGATTGGACCCAGGGACACTTAACCACTGAGTGACATTGCCACCCCTTTTTAAATTTTTAAAAAATTTTTTGAGACAGAGTCTTACAAAGTTGCTTAGAGCCTCACTAAGTTGCTGAAACTGTCTTTGAACTTGTGATCCTCCTGCCTCAGCCTCCTGAGCTGCTGGAATTACAGGTGTTCACTACCACACCTGGCAATCACCAAGAATTTTGAAGTTGTTTGTTGTAGCAGTGTAAACCCGCCTGGTCTGACTGATACCAGCATACAACTCAAGCAACAAAGAAGTGTATCAAAATAAAGAATTTAGGAAGGACAAAGCTATGATCTTTGAAATAATGATACTAACAAGAATTGATGGTAAGCTCTTAAATATACAATTAAAACTAAATAGTTGATTGAACTTGGCCTTATCTCTCACCATGAGCGTGGGAAGAATTTAAGTGCTGTGCACTTTGATAAACTGAAAGTAATGATAAAACCTATACAAAATGTGAAGAAAGTGGGGAAGAGATGTAAGTCCTAAGTTCTTTTTAGTTTTATAGCAGTAATTCATACCATTTATCATTGGAAAACTGAGTTCAGAATAAACCTAATTATACTAACTAACCTCTTGCTGTCTCCCCCCATAAAAATTCAGCAAAGTTTAACCATTCTTTCAATTCCCTTTTGTTAAAATTAAACTACATTCCAACTTTCGTCTTAGGTTGGATTCTTCCAGAAACAGAATCTGACACCACAATGTGAATGTTCCATGAGGCCGCGGGGAAGGAGGGTTATCCCAGGAAACACTGGTTTGGGGGATAGAAGGAGAATGAAGTGAATTCAGGGTTTTACAGAGCTAATGGTCACTGCAGACAACTGGGATTCTACCCCACTGGGGAACTTGGGGAGACTCTCTCAGTGTTTTCTCGTGTGTGGGGCATGGAAGGGGCATTTATCCATCCACTTCCATCCAGCACTGGAGCCTCTTCTGGGTATTAACTCCCTTCCACTTCCTCCCTGTCCTGTGGTCAGCCTGGTTCCATTTCTGCAGCCAGCAAGACCCTCAGGCAGAGGACACTTAGGTGCCTGCAAACAGAAATCACTGGCCTTGACTGGAACAGTGACTACCAACAGGATAAGGTACCAAAAACATTAAAACCTTTCTTCAGTTTAAAAACCTTGTCTAATAGATTAATATAAAATAAACGATGCTAAATGAAAAAGGCTACTTACTATATTATTGCATTTATGTGGATTTCTGGAAAAGTCAAAACTGTAAGGACAGAAGACATATTTGTGGTTGCCTAGGGCTGGGGATGTTTAGGGGATAACTACAGAGGATCAGGGGACTCTCCGGGGGCAATTAAAGTGCACTACATCTTGATTGTGGTGTTGCTTCTGCCAAAATTCATAGAACTGCACACATGAAAAAGTTGGGATAATTTAACTATATGTAAATTATACGTAAAAAGTCTGACAGTGATGATCTTAAAGGTATGTCTGCATTATTTGCTATTTTAAGAAACTGTAATTCTCCTCCCTGGAAGAGTTGGTGACTTGCTTCTAACAAACAGAATAGAGAGCAGGTCATAAAAGGCACTGGGGGCTTTCTGCTTGCTTTCTCAATTCTTTCCTGGATCACCAACTTTGGGGGAAAAAGTTGCCACTCCATGAACAGCCCAGTGGAGAGGCCCCTGTAGGGAGGTACTGAAGCCTCCTGCCAACAACCACGTGAGGTGGCTGTCTTGGAAATGGCTACTCGCCCTGGTTAAGCCGTCAGGAAACTGATCCCAGCCAGCAGTTTGTAACCTCATGAGAGACCCTGAGATAGAACCAGCCAGCCGAGCAACTCTCAGATTGCTGACCCTCAGAAACTATGAGCTACAGGTTGAATATTGCTTCTCCAAAATGCTTGGGACCAGAAACATTTCAGATTTTAGAGTTTTTCCCATTTAAAATATTTGCATCAACTTTACCAGATTGTGCATCTCTAATACAAAAATCCAAAATCTTTAATTTTCTAAAATGAGAAATTCATATTTGAAGCATTTTAGAGTTTTGGATTAAAGAATACTAAACTGGTAATATTAGAGTTTGTTGTTTTAAGCTGCCATGTTTGGGTGCAATTCGTTATATGGCAATAGATTGTTAACATAAAATTTATTTCATTTAAAAATAAAAATTACAATTATATAATTTTTTTGCAGAGAGCTACTGGGCATAATATTCATCTAAAGTGAATGATGGCAGTTTCTAGGCAGTAGGTTTTGGGGTAATTTTTCTTGTGATTGCTCTTGTTTATATTTTTGTATTCCTTTTGGATGCATGTGTAACAATGAAGTAAAAAACACAAATAATGACTAGGAGCCTAGGTTTAGATGTAGAAGGCATCATTTACCCAGGGGCAGAGTGGTAGGGTGTTTCTACAGGAAGCTGGCACACCATTCCTTCAGACAGTTAGAGCTCTCCTGGGCCTCACACTCGGTGGCACCACAACAGCAAATGATCCACTTCTGAAACTCAGCCTCGTTTTTGTGCATCAGAAGGAACTGTCCCAACAGGATGTAGGCCTGGGGAAAGGGACAAGGCAGGGAGGAAAATGGGAATGGTTAGTATAGTCCCGGTCAGATGCGCCCTTTCTCCCCCAAACATTGGAACTCATGGAACAATCAAAGGTTGGGGTACAGGTCCAATTTGAGAAAGACTGTCAGTCCTGAAGCTCTGGCTTGTTCCAGGAGGATCCAGATATGGGTTCCTGGTGAAAAGTAAGGCCAAGTTCAACACCGAGCTCTCTGGGTTGCTTTGGGTACTGTCCAGCCTAGATTGAACCAGACCCTGTCCTCCTTGAACTTAAGTGAGCACAGAAATCCTCTGGGATCCCATGAAAAGGCAAGTTATGATTCAGAGAGCATAAGTCTAGGTGGGACCTGAAAGTCCCCATTTCTAACAAGCTCCAGCTGAGGCTGGTCCAAGACATTGTTTTGAGGAGGGGGCCTCACATACTTCAGAAACTCCTTTCAGACCTCTCATCCAGTATTTCTCTCTTCAAAACACACACACACACTCGCACGCGCACGCGCACACACACACACACGCACACACATGCGCAAGCGCGCACACACTTTTTTTTTTCACCTTCACTATTTTCTCAATTGCTGTTAAAACAGGGTTCTCACAATCTCAGCATTTCTGACACTAGAGAATTCTACGCTGTGGGTCTGTCCTGTGTATTGCAGGATGTGTAGCAGCATCCTGGATCTTTGCCACACTCCCTCTTGGAGCTAAACTCTCCTCTGCTGAGAACCAGTGCACGTGCAACTTGAAGGTGAAGGTCATCTTAGCATCGACTTGTCTTTGCAAACCACCTGTGTGATCTCAGGCAACTCCACCTGAAGTAAGGCTCAGCAGGACCTAGGACTCAGTGTCTGTACCTCCCTAAGGTACATCATGTGACCTGCCCTGCAAATGAAGTGAATCAAATGGGAAAAACGTTCAAAAAAATGCAGATTGTTCCTTTGTCCTGGAGATGTGGCTCTGTGGGAAGAGCATAGAAGATATAAAACATGCTCAGCTTTGTCCCTCTTTCCCAAGCCTCCTACTGGTTCTCTTTCTCTCTTCTCTCTCTGGTTCTGAGGCTTCAGGCTTCTTAGATTGAGCAGCTACCAGTTTCTCAAGCTCTCCAGTCTGCAGACAGTCATCGTGGGAATATTCAGCCCCTGACCATGTGAGCTAGTCCAACAAATCCCCTCTTTTAATCATATATATCCTGTTGGTTCTGTTTCTCTGGAGAACCCTGACTAATACACTTTCTTAGAGTCTCTGTGGATAACAAAGACATTAAGCTAAATATTAAGTGCACTATGATTTATATTCCAATGGTATTCTCTAGTTTTTAATACCTACATACCAAAGATTTTACAATTTCATCACACCATTATTAATAAGAAAAAGGGCCACGTGGAGAAAAAGACCTCCCAAAGACCACATGGCCATAAACTGGCCAAACCGCTCCATGGTGGAGACTAGAGATTTCACGTCACATTACATGTCCATCTCTTGGGACTGGTTTGGGCGCTTTCCAGTCTGGAACCAACGAAAACTAGTGTTCACTCATGCCTTCAAGTTCTCGACTCTTTCCATAAAAACCCGCTGGTGTCTGTTGACTTTTATGTAAAGCAAAGCAAACTTCATCTTAATCAAAGGAAACTTTTTTTTAAAAAAGAGAAATCAAATAAAAACTGAATCCCAGTCATAAAATTTACCTAAGCAATCAAGTTTGAAGGTATTATTTTTACTTATCATTTATTTTTTGTAGTGCTGGGGATTGAACGTAGGCTAGTGCTCTACCACTGAGCTACACTCCCAGCATGGGGTTTTATTTTTAGTTATGGTCCCATTGTTGAAAAGAGGAAAAAAGCCAAGATTTCATGGTGATTTGAAACTGTTACTTTAATCTTTTTTTTTTTTTTTTTTTTTTTTTAGCAGTTGGTTGGTATGATCTCATTTTTCATCAGTATCCTCTCTCATTTTCAGTGGTGGGGTTTACAGATATTTTAAAATAAGCATTTAAAAAACTGAGCATGTATTTTCAGTGTCAATTGAGCCAGCTGCTATAGGTATGGGAGGTGCCAAGGTGAATATAACGGGATGGAGAGCCAGTGAGCTTTGTCCAAGGAGAGAAACATTCATCATAGCAATATTAATAATACTAGGAAGTGGCACTTTTGAGAACTTTGGCAGGCTACACACTGCTGGAGACACCCAGTATGTTTTAATACATCTGAATCTCACGGGTGCCCTGCTCATCCCCTTCTCCAGATAAGAGTTCTCAAGAATCTAAGAGATTAAGACTCGTGCCTCCCTCCACCGCAGTCTTCCACCTCTCAACCATCTGCAGTCCAGTCTGGAGGCTCAGCATCCTCTGCCTGTTTCTGAGGCCAGCTGCTGGCATCAGCTGACCTGATAATTGCAGTTTCCATAGGCTACCAGGCCCAGCAGCCAGGAAACCTAGGTCTATGTGGCCAGCAGGGCCCAGGCAAGCTTTCCAAGAATGCTGCAGGAGGAAGGGCTTCCAGAGCGGAGTTGCAACCTGATGCTCCAACCCCAGCTTTCCCTGTGCATCTTCCAGTGGGTAGAGAAGGAAAGATGACCCACCTTCTTGCTTCATTCCTGTGGACTTCATCTTGCTCCCAAGGGAAGCAGGAGTCATGGGCTCACATGACTCTGCCCAGTGTCCACTTGGTTTCTCCACTGTCTCCAGAAAGTGAACCCCTAACTTGCCTTCTTGAGCCAAAGAAAAACCAGCTGCAAGGAGGGGGACATAGAAACACAGAAACCCTGAGCAGATGACTCTACATTCCCACTCCCTTGAGAGGCCACGGCAAGCCAGGGATGTGTGCTTCTTCCTATAGCAGCAAGACGGCAGCTCCATGGGAGACTTGCAGGGATGCTTATCCAGGGACTTCTTCCAAGCAGGGTGGGAACCATCCCCTTTACTCACTGTGTCCACTTCTTGATAAACAGAAGCAATTTAAATCTGCACAGGGGTTGGATTTCCTTGGGGGGTAACCTGTGTGGTTGCCCAGGGTCCCACACTTTTAAAAAGCCACTTACTCAATTTGCTATGCTCTTGCCATCTTAAAAAGCTTAATCTATTGGAACAAAGGGCCTCCTCACATTTTCTTTTTGCTCTGGGGCCTGCAAATCAGGGAGTTGGTCCTCATCTGCATTCATAATAATTTTTGGACCTTCACTATGACACCTGGTCTCGTCTCTTATCTCAAGTTTCTTACACTTCCTCTGCTTAGGTTCCCGGCTCCTGAGTGCCTATATGGAATGTACTTCACACCACTGAAAGACTCCAGAAAGTAATAACACCACTTTTTCCGGTTTTCTCTAATCAGACATTGACTCTTAGGTATTCATGTCCACTTGAGAGCCAATGGCAATCTTATAAATCCAGTATCTCTGGGTCATTTCAGGTCTAAAACACCGTGCCTTTAGTGTGAATAAGTGGACAATCCAATATAGGTCTTACCCTTTATTCTCTTCCCTGTCTCCCTGGGTCATGCTCATACTATAACATTATCCATCTATCCAAAATTCAAATTTAACTGTATTTTGTTATTTTATCTGGCAACTCTATGCAGGGTAACATCCAAACTTATGTGACTGATTCCTGCCAGGGTCCAGATGTCAGGCAGCAAAATCAAGTGCTAGCAGAGAGGACAGGCAGGAACTAGAGCCCTTAGTAGCTTAGTCATAGGCATCTTGGGACCTGAGGGAGACCAGGGCTGACCTCACTGGGGCTTCCTGGTCCTGAGTTCAGCCTTCTCTCCTCTCTGCTAATTACAACTAAGTGGCTTTGGAAGGAGATGGAGATCCTGGAATCTGGACAGTCTTGAGATAAAGGTATGGGTGACATGAGGCAGGCAGGGTAAGAGAGACAAGAGCCTTGCAGGTAATCCAGGTCAGGGCAGCTGCATGGGAAATGACTCCCTCACACTTCAATTTCAGGAAGGCAGACAGCCCGATGGTGTAGTATCCAGACCCTACAACCTGTCTACCCAGGTTCAGAATTCATCTCTGTCATCTCATGTGAGCTTGAGCGAGCCACACATGATCTCTCTGCTCCTCAGTTTCCCCATCAGCAATGTGGAGATAGTCTACCTCAAAGGATTTTTTTTGGATAATTAAATAAGATTAAATATATGTGATGCACTTAGAAGTGCCTGACATGTAGCAAACACCACATGCTATATCTATTAGCAGAGATATGCAGAGCAGGTGGGCAATCAAGACATTTACTCCATTCTGATCCTCTACGTATCTCTCAGGAGAAGGATCTGGGCTCAAGAACATGACTTTACGAAGTCTGTAAAAATCTCTAAAACCAACCAGATTCTCTGGGATGTTAAAGTTACCTCCATGCTATTGGAGAACCCCAGAGCTATCTCCAGAGCTCACCCCACAAGGCCCTGCCCAACATCACTGAATTTACTGAATATGTGGAAATCCACCACCTCTGGGTGAGTTGTCCTAGGGAGGAGACAAGTACGAGCGAAGACACAGACTCATCCTCTGCTCAGAGGAGTTTAGAGAGAAAAACCACAGGCATGTTGTGTCTCTGACATCAGTGCGGGCTCTCAGGCCATATGGACCATAGTCAACAGTAGGACAACAGTGTACTGATGACCCACTGAAAAATTGTATTGCTCAGAAAAAGGAGCTGTTGGGTGGGGTGGGCAGAGGGAAGGTTTCCTAGAGGAAGGAGGCCCTGATTGGAAGCTTGAAGGGGACTAAGGTCCATTTCAAGAGACCACAGGTTGGAGGAGGGTGGCTCCCCTAGGTGTTTGTGGTTCACAGACAGCCTGGCACTAATGCAGGGGCGGTAGTGGGTGGGATCAGGGTGGGGAGCACAGGCGTACAAGACAGCTAAAGGAAGGCTGCGGCAAGCCTTGACGCCATAGGCACAATGGATTTTTCCATTTCCAAAATTCCTTTCTTCCATAATCCTATTTCTGGTCCAATAGAATTAGAAGATGAACCAGCCAATATGTAATGTATAATCTTCTAGAAGCCACAGAAGGAACAAGGGGGAAGGAAACAGCTGGAATGAATTCTAGTGGTAAATCTTATTTTGTCCCATCATCCCCAAATATTATCATTTCAATATGTAATCAATAAAAAATTATTGATGAGATGATAAAGAGCTTCTGTTTCCTCATTTATAAAGCAGAGACAACTATCATCACCCTGTATACTTTTAAGATGGAGACTTTAAGACTTTAATAGAAAAGTGACTCTTTTAGATTTCTGGGACATCTTCATTCAGACAAATGCTCAGCAGGCAGATGCGGTTGGTGGCTACCATTTTGGATCTAGGTCCTCAGGCCAAAGGTGACTGTTCCAGGAAAGGGAAGGCACAAGATAACCAAGAGAGATCACAGGTACATTTCTCTTGAGAAATGTAAATTTTTTTTTCTTTTTTACATTTCTTTCCTGAAGAGACTTGGGTGAATCCAGTTTTGTTTATTTTGCATTTGTTTTATTTTGGTTTATTTTAGTGTTTGGTTTGTTTTGTCTTTGAATGACACCTCACTATGTTGCCCAGGCTGGTTTTTAAACTTCTGGGCTCAAACATCTTCCTGCCTCAGCCTCCCAAGTAGCCAGGGTCTCGGCTTGGCACCAGAATCACGAGCCACCACACACCTTTGTAGGTTCAAACAGCAATTCTTTATTCCCGCTCTCACACCGCCTCCACACAGGTCCAGGGACAATCGCGTTCTGCCGTCTCCCGCACAATTCACCTACTCCACAAGGCTATCTCCAAATCCCCTTTTAATCTCACGAGAACTCAACGGGAACAAGCAGCAGGAACACCCTAATCCCAGCAATAATCTTCAACCTCCAACTTCCCTAAAACCCATTATCTTAAACTGGCAACGCCTTAAACTCAAGGAGCCGGTTACTTCCTCAAACCTGATCAGCTCTAAACCCGGATCCGCCTTGGTCCTTGAGCAAGGTCACCTCATTAAAGCATGCATGCAATGTCCCATCGAATGTCCTCTAAGCAGCATGGGGTACGCTTGGCAAGGAAATTTCGATGCGTCATTCCTACTTGGTAATGGCCCTCAGCATCTAGGCTCGTGCCACTGTGCCCAGCTAATCAATAGTTTTGAAAAGTTATGTTTTAAACCATGAGTTGGAAAGCAGTTCATGCCCTAACTAGAGCTCTGGGGAAAGTCCCCTTTCTAGTACCCCAGTCTTCTATTGAAGAAAAGATGAAAGACTTGTATGGTGCCAGGGACAGAGGAGAAGGTACTCGATGTAGGAGTTGGTGAGAGCTATGAAGGAACTTCCAGGTCCCACCCCATTCAGGGCCACACACCTAGAGGTGACTGGACACTCAGATCAATCAAGGGGCAGGAGGCTGGTGCCTCACTTTTCCCCATGCACACAGTGTTTGGGTGTCTTTAGACAGAGCTGGTGGCTGAGTTCTGAGGAGCAGGCAAGTAGGTGTGAGTTTGCCCACCAGACTGCATCCCAGGTACTTAGAAGGGGTATGGAAAGAGCCAGCGCCCACGGGACAAGTCCAAGAAAATTGTGAACAGCAAAGGTGGGTTCAGAGGCAGTGCTACCTCATGGCAAAGACACCGAGGTCCCAGTCTAGGTAGGGAAAGGGAAGGGCTCAGCTACGCCTCAGAAGAGGCCAGCAGAGTCCGAGAGTGGCTTGAGACCCAGAAAGATGTCCCTCCTTCTGCCAAGTTTAGGTTCCTGACAGGCAGTGAATAAAAACATAGGAACCTGTATTTCCATCAGCTAAATCTGAGAACCCTGCCCTGTCAGGATCTGCCGGCCACATGCTCTGATTTCTGGCCTTGCCCAGGGACCAGTGGCACTTGATCATCTGGGTCTCCTCCTGGGTCTTCCTATGGGCTCATCTGGGCTCTGGGCCCTGATACAGGGGTCTCACTACCAAATCTTACTCTAAGCCCCCTCCCTGCCTGCCAGAACCACCTGGAACTTCTTGTGTAGTTTGTGACGGTATAATTCGTGGTCATTCTTATTTTCACCCAGATCCTCAGTCAGACACTATTCTCCCAGAGCTTCTGTTTCCTCACTTATAAAGTAGAGACAGCTATCATCGCCTAAATAACAGGTGAGGAGGCGCAAAGCAGAGGATAACAGTGGGATCCCTGGTGTCAGTGCCATGGTTCTCGAAATGCACAGGGCTGAGAATGGGGTGCTGGGCACTGCCAGCCACGAGGTCACGCACACCGGAGGGGCACGTGTCTATGGACCAGGATGCACACGGGCAAACCCTATACCCCTGACTCTATGCAGGCAAGTCCCAGTGCCTGAAAATTTCCCTTATTCATTCATTCCTTTATCTTAAAGACGTCTGACATACCAACGATAATCCTTATTTAAAACAAAGTTGAACTGGAAAAGGCAAAACTATATACAGAAGAAAACAAATAAGTTGTTGCCAGGAACTGAGGGTGGTGAGTATCAGGACACAAGGGAGTGACTATTTTTGGAATGGTGGGATTGTTCTGTGTCTTGATTGTGGCAATGGCTACAGGACTGTCAAAACTCACAGCAATGTATGATACAAAAGGTGGAATTTACTTATGTAAATCATACCTTAACAAAAAGTGTTTAAATGCTAAGCATAGAGCTCAGCAACAATAATAAAACTCCACAGTTATGGAAACATTAAATCAATGGTGGTAGACATCAGAACAGTGGTTACTCTGGGGATACGAATGGCACTGGCTGGGAAGAGGAGCAAAGGCACCATCTGGAATTTTGAACGTGTCAGATTGCTGGTTCCAGATGGTGTGTACCTGGGTGCATCCATATGTAAAAATTCATTGATCTGAACTCTTCATACTAAACGCACATCCCCATAATTACGTTACACTACAATAGAAGAATAAAAGGAACAATTTTTTTTTTTTTTTTTTAGGAATGCTTCATTTAAAATATCTATCCTAATCAGACTTGCCCACTACACTACCTGCTTCCTGCTTGGGAATGGCTCTCGATCCTTTATCTGGGCTCCACCTCAATTGTGGAGCTCCAGTTTCCTGATGATTCCACCAAAATGGATATTAAGTTGGAGGGTAGATCAGGGTGAGATTCAGAATATATAACAACTGGTCCAGTGCCAAGCGTCAGTCAGAAAACCGTGGGCCCCAATGCTTCAGATTTGGGCACAAACCAACAGATCACCAGCTGTGCAGGCAGTAGTTCCCAGCCTCTTTGAGTGTTTCTATAAGATCTTCCTGCCTGGTGGTATAGATTGGGTTTGAAAACTGAAGGGAATTCAAAGCAGTAGGTCAAGTAGATGCCTCTTGACTGGGGTTGCAAGGTTGTGTGAATTCCCAGCCTCCTTGGTAAATAATTGCTTCCTTTGGGACTTTTGCCATTGTCTCCTGAGATTCCAAACAGCTTTTTCATAGCCCCATAAAAACAAGTTACTACATAGACTATTCAGGGCTACAGTTTTGATGTGCTTCTTTCCCCTAAAATTCCTGTGTTGGAGGCTTGACACCCAGTCGGGTGGTGTAGAGGTAATGGAATTTTAAGAGGTGGGGCCTAGTGGAAGATGATTTGGTCCAGGGGAAGGGATCAATGTAATTCTCACGGGACTCTGGTAAGTTCCCAAGAGAGCAAGAAATTGTTATTTTTTATTCTTGATATTTATTCCTATAAATAGAGCAAGAACAGGGACTGGGGAGGTAGCTCAGTGGTAGAGTACATGCTTAGCATGCATGAGACCTTGGTTCAATCTCTAGTACCAATTAATAAATAAATAGCAAATAAAAATGGCCTCTCCACACCATCTGGTTTTTTGTCTTGTCATGTGACTGCTCCTTCTCTCTTGGCTCCTACCATGATGTTGTATACCATGTTGTGATGTGGCCAGGAGGGCCCTCACCAAAAAGCCAAACACATGGTCCAACCTTGGACTTTAAGTCTCCCAAACTACGAACTAAATAAAACTCTTTTCTTTATAAAGTACCCAATTCTCAAGTATTTTGTTATAGCAATGGAAAACAGACTTCTACATTCATATTCTGTTGGATATCTTGAGGTCATTCTTGGCTTAGAAATGATATCTTAGAATAACTCAAGTCCCCTGTCTCTGAGGCAGACCACAGTCTGTTGGTTCTCCACCTGTCACTTCTGTGCTAGTGCTCTGACAGGGCAAGGAAAGTTCCACAGGGCCCCTTTATGGAAGCAGGGAGTGCACCATATCATCTGTTCTGATACTGCCCCGGACTCTAGTGGTGAGCCCATTTCCGTCAAGCCCTGAGTATTTGGACTCCTAGCAAATCTTACCCAGCCCTGCTTCTCTGAGCTAAAGCAATTCTCTTCGCCTATTGGCTACAAATCCTTGAGCTTTCTCGAGCATATGGGGTCAGTAGCACTGAAGAATGTGGCTTCTTGCCAAGTGGCAGCATTGTTCTCTGATGGCCCTTCAGAGGGACTCATGCAGTGGCTGCCATCTGGCAGGACTTGGGAAAAGAGAAGAAAAGTTGAAGAAGAAAAAAAATGAATTACCTTGGTGAACCCTTTGGTAATCAAATTGATGGCAAGCTCACGGCTGACCCCATCCACCCAGCCAACATCCTTTTCTCCAATGGGTTCAGAGAGGAAGGCTCTCAGCCTGGGAGACATGTGATCCATCTCCTGCAACAGCAGTGGGGGAAGAAAAAGAATTAGGAGATGGCTGTCTGCTCACAGTGTGAGTGGACATTAGGGAGCTCCCTCAGCCTATTAAGGGATTGGGGGCAACAGATGGTAGACTTCCTTCCATCATCCACATTTACTGGGGACTTTTTAATTTCAGGTATGGTGCCCTGCACTGAGGGCTTTACACTTCCATTCCCATTTGGATGGACAAAGAGATGTGCAATGATGGCTGCAGACAAGTCGACTAAATCCCCAATGAAAAGTGTATGCTTAATGGTAAGAACCATGTTATATTCCTGTCCAACTCTTTCCACCCTACATGCTTTAACAGTCACTTTTCTTTGCTAATGAACCTACCTTCTTTCTAAATCACCCAACACTTTTGTCATACTTTTTAATTCTAGCATTTATCACACTCTATTATAGTTATTTGTTTGGTTGCATGTAACAGAAAACTCTTCAAACTGACATTGTATAACTTGACGTCCAGGGGTGAAGGTGGATATGGTACAGTCAAGGTTGCAGATCTATTTCTCTATGATTCTTTCAAGACTTTCCCTCCTTGTTCTGATCATGGGGATGAAATGACTACTCTAGCATTCATATTCTCCAAAAATGTCACCTCAAAAGCAGGAAGAGAGGGGCTGGGGTTGTGGCTCAGTGGTAGAGTGCTTGCCTAGCAGGTGCAAGGCTCTGGGTTCGATCCTCAGCACTACATAAAAATAAACAAATAAAATAAAGGTATTGTGCCCAACTAACATATATATATTTCTGAAATATATATATCAGAGAGAGAGAGAGAACTCATCTTTCAGAAGTCCCAGGAAAATGCCTCATCCATTCTTGAAGATCTGTCTGGGGCCCCTAGTGTGAGCTTAATGTCAGCCTAATGCCCCAGACCTAGATCTGGGAATAGAATTGGCTTTCTCCAAGACATACAAGCTGTGAGTTCATGTGTAGTTACCTGAAAAAAAAAATCAGGATCACTATCTAGAGAAGGGGATATGGGTGTTAAAACCTAACCATAATGTTCAACCAAAATTCTACTTCTGGCTATCCAATATCCATATAACACCCTCTCCCTTACATATCATCGGCAATATCTATATATGGCTAAAGTGGACTCCCTCCCTCCCACAAAGGGAGCAACCCTGTGATTCATCTAGTGACTAGATTCAGATTCAAGGTTATCTTGTTGGGGAAGGTACATCTCACACTGTCTGGAGGTAACCTATGAACTAAATGCCAAAGTTCACCACCTTTAACATAACCAATAATGCTGAGGGTAGGGGGAAACAGTCAAAGGACATCTGCAATAAGAATTTCTCTTTAGAGGGGGTGGAATTGTGGCTCAGTGGGCAGAGTGCTTGCCTAGCATGCATGAGGCACTGAGTTCAATCCCCAGTACCACATAAAAATATGCAAATAAAATAAAAGCATTGTATCCATCTACAACTAAAAATATTTTTTTTTAAAAAAAAGAATTTCTTTTTAGAGAGGGGAAAATGGAAAACATTTAGTAGCCACTGGCCAACAGTACACACAATATCCTGCTTAAAGGAAATATTGAAGACTCGCCCCGACCTGATGGTAAATCGAGTTCCTCCATTGGACAAAATGGCAGCCCATTTCTGATTTCGTGTGGATTTCCCTCGTTCACTGTACTGCCCTGTTGGCACTGGAGTGGGCGTGGGATAGATGCCTTCCCAAGAGAGCCACTATGCGAGCGAGCACCCACTTCCTGTAGGTACAAATTCAGGGATTGCCTGACAGATGGGGCAATCTCAGGCCAGAGTTGGCCACTTTTCTTGGAAACTCAGACTTGAAGAACTTAATGTATTTCTTCTATTCAAGTCTGTAGGCTGCTAATTAGAGCTGGAGATCTTCTTAGGTTGGAATCCTTGCCACTGGCCTCTATGCCTTGCCCAAATCTTCCTGCTTCTCAGATTAGTGGCGTCTTCCTTTATCTATGAATAAGGAGCGCCCCCCCCAAGATTGGTTCCTAATCCCTGAGTGATAACCCAACTGCATCTTCACAAGTCAATCGTCTCCTTTGTCAAGCTTGATGTCCTTAAGATGAGATGCTTGAGAGAGGCCTGGGAATGGAGGGGAATGTTTTTCCAGAGCCCCCAGTTTTCTCTCCTATTAGGTTCCCCATTGTTATCTGTGCTCTAAATTTAACCAGATAAATCAGCTTTTCCAACCTCGTAGCACTTGCTTATCAATTTCCTGTCACTTTAGACTAATGATCACACTGAAAGGCCGTCTCATAGCAAAGCCCTATTTTTTTCCTTCTCCGTTTTCAAATGGGCCACCTTTCTCCTAAATTTGAGTCATCTAGGACCCTAATGACAACTGCTAGTGGTAGCCAATATCCTGAATATCCCATAAGACGTTAACATGGTGTGGACTCCAGAGTGTAAGATCTGTTTCCCAGGATGGCCATTTTGCTGAGTGACAGTTACCATCCTCCTAGTTTGAGTAAAGACATCCCTTCCTGGTCTCTGCCTGAACATCTCTTTGCAACCAGTCCTACATTTGAGGCTTGTCCACTGTCACATCAATAGTACCAGATTCTGTGTCAACTTATTATGCAAGTAACAGAAAATCCAGTTCAAAGGGGCTTCTACAAAAGGAAGATTTTTATAGTAGCACACACTACCAAAATAAATAAATAAGTCCAGAGGAGGTCAGATGGGGTTTCACCAAGGCTCCAGCTCGATTACCTTGCATTTCTCTTCATTCAGCCTTCCTTGTGAATCAGCTCAATCCTCAACTTTACTCCTTCATGGAACAGGCTGAACCAGGACCTGCCATTGCTTTTGTCAGCCATGCTCCCCTCCCCTCCCCCGTCCCTCCCTCAAAGGAAAACACAGAGCTCTCTCCCTAAAAGCTACACATTGTCCCAGGTCATGCCAGCCCAATTGTCATATGCCAACCCCTAAAACAAAAATTATCATCTGAGATGCATGATCCACCTCTGGGTTCTGAAAGCTCATGGGCTGCAGCGGTGAAGAGAGTGGTACAAAAACTGAGATAGTGACCGTGCTACTGGGTAGGGCTACCCCACACCAGCAGAGGGGATTATGTTAGAAGGGCAGTCCAACATCTACCACATATTTCCCAACAGATCCTGAGGCCCTCCAAGGGCTGTAAGTGCCTCCTTATGGCCTTTCTCCCACCCAGCCCCAGCCCCGGCCCCAGTGCCTAGTACTTGTGATTAGTATAAGGGAAGCACTGGGCATAAATGATCAAATGCATCCAAAGCCTCCCTCCTTTTCACCATACTTGTCCCTCTCCTGTCCCCACCCTCCAGATCCTCCTCCAGACCTTTCTGCCAAGTCGACCTCCTCTGGTACACCTTTTTGTTCTGCGAGACGTTTTGGAACACTTTTGATGGAACTAAGCTCTGCGAGAAAAGATGGATCCAAAGGCACTAGAGGTGGAGGGGTTCCTAAGAAGAGTAGTCTGGATGTGCTGGTGGAGTCTAGGAAGGGAAACATAAGACAGGAGAGTTTGTTCAGGGTCTTCTGATACGGAGGTTGTCAAATAAACTGACGTGGGAACTATTATTTGGAAGACATCAATCTGGCTTCGTCTGTGAAAATAGATTTTCTAAATAACAAAAACGTGTGGAACTCCAGTATTAACTGATAAACTCCTCAGTATCCACGGCATTATGGGATGATCAGTTGGGATGGGTGGCCCCACCCAGGGCCAGGCTGGTATAAACCCCAGGGTTTCTGAATGAGGAATTACCTGGAAGTCTTACCAACCGCACCAATTTTGCTGAGGGAAAATTCCACCCACTATCCATGTTGGCCATCTGTTAAGTTAAACATCCATGCCTTTTAAACTTTCAAAGTCTAAATGGAAACTACAACATGGTTATCAAGGCACCCACAGCATCAAAGACCGGTAATGATTTGTAACACCTGTGTGTGTTTGATTTTTCTCACACTGGACTCATTGGGTCCCTGGAACACCTCCCCTCTGGGGTCAATGGGCTGTAAGTTATAACTTCTGAAGATCCCATAGCAGCTTGAGGGATCCCAATAAAAGATCTTGACATTCTTTAGGTTGACTCTGGCTATAAGAGTGGTTCTCAACTGGAGGTGGTTTGCCCCCCCAGGGAGAATTTGGCAATGTCTGCGGACATTCTTAGTTGTCACACCTGGGAGAAGGAGAAGGGGCATTGGTATCTAGAGAGTAAAGTCCAAGGTCACTGCTAGACTTCTTACAACACACTGGACGGACCCCACCATCAGCAGTTATTGGGCCCTAAATGTCAATAGTGTTGAAGTTGAAAGACCTTAGGCCACAAGTAATAGAAAACTCAGACTCAGATTATATTAAACAGTGAGTACATCTCACATAACTAGAAGGTCTTTTGATGACACAGGCCCAGGATTTTTTGAGTCAGTGGCTCTGTGTTATAAGGGCGAGGCTAGCTGCTCCCCAGGTTCAAGATACTGACTGAATTTACTTAGATCCCATCCGAACATGAAAATATCTAAGGGGAAAGGAAATGCCGTTTCTTCTTGGGTGCCCTTAAGGGGAGGTAACCTTCCCCTGGAAAAAACTCTCCAGAATCTTCCTTAGTTTCAGTGGCCAGAAGCAGGTAACACGACCAGGCATAACCCAGTTCACTAACCCAGGGGAGTGGGACCACCATGGAGGGATGAATGAGCAGCCCTTTAAGCTACTCTGGGAATGTGGGATTCTGAAAGGAAGGAAGTGGGGAAATGGGTGTCTGCTACGTCTTCTCAACTCTGGTCTAATATTCAGTTCATTACAACTAGGGCTTCTCAAAGCTTAGTGTGTGAAGGGAGCTCCTCAGGGGTTCTTGTGAAAAAATGAAGGTCCTGACCCAGCCGACTCGAGGCGGGACTCATATGATGCATTTCTATCCAGCTCTGTGGAGATGCTGGTACTGCTGGTCCAGTGATCCCACCTTGACTAGCAAGTCACTGCATGATACCACTTACTCCTTTTATATGACTTATTAATTATAGTAAAACATAAACTTTACCATCTTAACTATTTTTAGGTGCACAGTTTAGTAATGTTAAATGCATTCACATTGCTGTGCAAACGGTCTTGTGAACTCTTTCATCTTGCAAAATGGAAACTCTGTACCATTAAGTACTATCTTCCCATCTCTCCCTTCCCCAGCCCCTGCATTCACCCTTTTTTTTTTTTTTTTTTTT